CAGGTTTGTAAATATCACAATTGATGAATTGCAGGAACATCGGGCTCTCTTGGATAAGCAGGTTGTTRACTTGAACTGGGTTAAACGTGAGTTTGATATATATGCAAACAGTCCAGTGTACAGTGATGCAATTCGAATGCCAAGAGGGGTTCCTACTGAGTTTAAATTGATCGATCAGGTGGCAGCTGGTTTTGAAAGCATTTCACCCTTAATAAATACATGGATCGTCTTAATTTTATTCATTTTTCTTTGCAGAGGCGTAATAATTTGACCAGGGATGCCTTCCAGAGTGCACATGAGCAATTAGCAGCAACATCTTTAATGGCTTATCAGAATCACATTGCATTAGACTATTTATTAGCAGAACAAGGTGGAGTGTGTTCATTTTTTGGGTCATCTTGTTGTACATTTATTCCTGGAAATACTGACACAGATGGGTCATTTACAAAGGCTGTTAAAGGCCTAGGAACATTGTCTGTGGAGATGAATGATATTTCAAAGGGTGCCACGCAGATGGAGGGATGGTTCATGAAGGTTTTTGGAGGTTGGAAAAAGCTGATGTCTGCTGTGGTGATGCAATYAGTCATGGTGGTGGTAATACTGGGTTTTTGCTGTTTCTGTGGCATCCCTGTGGCTAGAATATTGTTTTTAAGGGCCATCTCCCAGACTGTTCGAAACACATTCAACCAACATCATAACATCAAGTATCAGATGGTACAGACGTCGGACAGTGCTCCATTGCCACCGCTACAGTACCCCTATGGCAAGGACGACTGGTGTGGAGACCAAGGCCCTAAAAATGATGATTCTAGCTGACATTGTAGATATAGAATGGTAATACTGAAATAGTTACACTCATGTAGTCGGACATGAAATTGATAGGTTATTGAGTTGATTTTAAATGATTTTGATAAAATGTTGTTTGATTTTTATTTGTTTTTCATTATTGGTTCTTTTTATAGACGTGACACACTAAGCAGGTATGTTTAGTAATGGTGTAAAATTTTGATTGATTTGTTTTTTAATATATACATTAATATTAATATTTTAATAAGTTGAAATGTTATTAACCAGCTCAGTCTGACGCAGAGGAGGAGATGGAAAAGTACTGAGGACTTATTCCCAACTGTGGGCTAAGTTCTGGAACCTCTGGCCCCAATTAGAATAAACACAGCTGACCTGGTTGATATTTGACAATAGTTCAATTTATGTTTTCTATTTTGATTGGGGTGGAATAAATGAATCATATTACTTTACGTATATCAGGGGTGGGATGTCAGAAATTTTCCACGTTGTGATGTATTGCTTAGAGTACTTTGCATACACATTTGTGCCTTAATGCGAACAAATAGCTTATTATAAATTTCTTATTTTATTTCACATGATTTGGTCATGTAAAAAGGGGGATTGAAGAAATTTATAGTTATTACAGATTAGTACTGATGTTAGAAGCACAACACTAGATTATTAGGGTTTCCTTTTTATAATGTTTGCTCTATTATGTGTTAATTGATATAGAATATTTACATGTCCGAATCATAAACAACACATAAATGAAACGTTATGATAACATTAGGTTGAGATTTTTGGATGAATGCCTGTGATTCAGCCATAGGTCAGTAGTGGGTGAACTCAGACAATGAAGAATCATGTATAAAAAGATGTACTACCTGGCTTTTGGCCAGTGTGGTTTTCCTTGTCAGCCTGGTGACAATTAAACCTCACTCGGTTCCAGAATTCTGGGGTTGTATGATTTCATTCCTACCACAAATCATTTTATTTAATACTGGTGTTTTCATCTTGACTTCAGTCAAATTGAACACGTATTTTTCTTACAACTCAATCCTCTGCAGGGAACTGATGGACTGTTGACAGGCACGGGAACTGATTAATGGCCCAAATCTAAGGTTTAGGAAAGCTCTCATCTCCCTAACAAGGAAAACTCTAAGTACYCTGGTTGGAGTCCTAACTGGGCACAATCTGCTCAACCACCAAAAAATGGTGATGGGACTCCATGACAATGGTCTGTGTGATTCCTGTGGCATTAGAGACCTCTTTGCACTACTTAGACCACTGCCTGGCTAWGAGTGGTCAAAGGAAAAGATTTCTTGGAGACCCCTTTATGGATTCTGAGAAGCTCAGAACACTGAGTGTTTCTAACCTCATGTCCTTCATCTGAGGAACAAGAAGGTTTGAAAAAAGACCAGTATCTTTTTGGGGAGAGCAATGGGCCGACTTAGGAGGCATATGGATTTTATATTYATCCCCACTCACCATAACAATAACTATCATAACCTATTGTACCAGAAATGTGGGTTCATATCTGTAAAAATGATTGATTTAAGAGTTATTTTTGTCTTCTTGATATTAGTTGGCTGAAACCAACCTGAATTGAATCAAAAGCTTGTAGATTCAATATGTATGACCTTTAACACTAGAAGTCCCAGGAATTTTGACCACCCCCCTGAAGTCCCGAAAGAGGGTCAAAAGACCCTTAGTCCAAATGGATTATTCTGATGGCTCCAATTAGCATCCTTTCATTTGTAAATGTGGCTATTGCCTTACGATTCAGCAGGGGACAAACCCCCTAATTCTGCTTAGCAATATGAGACATACAAACATCTTTCTTTATTGTAAAAACAAAATGTATAGACTTCGTTGTCAACACGATGATGTCGTTGACATTGTCGACATCGTCGTTGACGTCGTCGTCAACATAGGTGCAGAGTTTTGGGCCAAAGGGGGGATATGTAGGGGCACAGTTTTGGGCCAAAGGGGGGAAATGTAGGGGTACAGTTTGGGCCAAAGGGAGGGTATGTAGGGGTACAGTTTTGTCGCCAGATGATATTCTCACTCTGTTTCTCAAGKGTTCCTGTTTAAAAGTTTTTGTTCTGAAGATATGGTGTGTTGCAAAGAACATAAGTGGATGCCACTGTATTTTCAGAGCTACAGTAAAAAATTGTAAATATCATGTGTTTAGTAAGGTTTTGTCTTTTTGTTTTCAATGAATATATCAAATCAATTAGATTTGACCAGGAGCACAAAAGTTATTTTGTGGGACAGTTTAGAAAATTTACAAATACCACACATTTACACCTGTGAAACACATTTACACCTGTGGCAGAAAGTAATTTACAGCTACTTGAATAGCTGTAGTCCTAAATGCAGAAACACTGACAGGAGTGGATCATAATTTTTTACCCTTCGATTGTGTTTGGAGCAAAGAAAAACACAATGGCACCAAAGAAGACCTACACTGCTTTGCAATTTTTGGAATTACTGACTGCTATGGATGACTGCGAGTCCGATGGAGGAGAGGAACTAGCTTTTGATCAAATAGATGATTCAGACACTGATTTGAACTTAGAAATTTCTACAGATGAAGATAAATGGTAAATGGTAAATAGTAAATGGACTGAACTTATAGAGCGCTTTTCAAGTCCCTCCGGACCCCAAAGACCTTTACACTAAGAGACATTCACCCATTCACACTAACATTCACGCACTGATGATGGCAAACTGCACTGTAGCCACAGCTACTTTTTAAATATTGTAAATAAAACTTGCTGCTAATTCCTATTTATGTATCTTGATTCCCTCAGCCATGTCTGCAGCCCAAAACGCTACACCTACATATCCCCACTTGGCCCAAACTCTGCAGACATGGCTGAGGGAATCAAGATATATGAACAGGACTTGGCAGCAAGTTTTATTTACAATATTTACAAAAACAGCTTAGACAAGCAATATATACATTTTGTTTTTACAACAAAGAAAGATGTTTGTAAGATACTATATTTACAATTTTTTATTGCAGCTCTGAAAATACAGTGGCATCCAGTTGTGTTCTTTACAACATACCACATCTTCAGAGCAAAATCTTGTAAACAGGAGCCCTTGAGAAACAGAGTGAGAATATTATCAGGCGTGGTGGGTGTGTCTGGATTAGATGCAGCCATATGAACAACAAAAGGCAACAGATAACCCTCATATTACTTATTTTCAAAACAAAAGCACCCGTTCACAGTTGATTTAGAATGTGACCTAAAATCCTTGAGCTCAATTGATCCCTCTCTGGGTTCCAAAGGTAGAAATATTAAATGACCCTTCTCTGGGACTTCTAGTGTTAATAAACTCAACTCAGAGTCTCCAGTGTTACCTCCAGCTTGGTTCTCAGGTGAGGTTCCAAGTGGACCGAGTAAAGCTGAAGGTTTGACATCAGCAGCCTGCAGGCCCTTTSATTGGCTGGAGAAAGACATCAATCATTAGAGCGTCTCCTTCATAAACCGGTTTCTAAGAACTAACTGGCAATGCAGTTTTATGGAATTTATTTTTTAAAAGAATGAATAATAAATTCATGAAAAAGGGCAACACAAACAGTTAGACCAAATAAACTGAAGTACATCCTCCAACCAGTGAAGAGAAGTGGTCTTGACTCAAGATTGTTACATGAGAATSCTGAGTGTTTTGTGACTTCACTCATTTTTCTGTGGTTGTGTTTGCCTTGGATTGAAAACAATGTTATAGAAGTTTAGGCCACGCCATGTTGACCCCGCCCACATCGAGCTGGGCCTCCACCTCTATCAACAACAGCTGAGACCCAAGTGAAGCTCAACCCACATGAAGCCAGACATCCACCTCTATCATCAACAGCTGAGACCTGAGTGAAGCTCAGTCCACATCAAGCCAGACCTCCATCWCTAACAACAGCTGAGACCCAAGTGAAGCTCTGCCCACATCAAGCCAGACCTCCACCTCTGTCAACAACAACTGAGACCTGAGTGAAGCTCCCCCCACATATAGCTAGACCTCCATCTCTAACAAAAAATACAAATACAGACTGGGCGACAACAAAGCCATTCRCCCGTTTCTTTGTCAACCCGTTACTTGAAGGTCTGACTCAACAAATTGATTTTTATGACTTTTTTATCATGGACAATATTTYAAGAAAACACATCTGACTTAATGTGTTTTGTGATAAAGTAAAGATTCTGAAAATATTTTCACTCATGATGGTTTTTATTTTCACATCACTGATAAACATACTGTCATTAGTTGAGACACTGTGGTGTTCTCTTCATACATTTCATTAAGTAAGATAAAAACGGCCGACAAAATATGAAAAAATACAAAACTTCAGGTATAATAATTTAAAGAAGCAATGATTGCCATTATAAAAACATTTGAAGAAAATACTGAAAAAGAACTGAATGAAGAGCACATGATTACCAACCATTTATGAAAACACAATATTTAAGATTGACAGTTGTAAACTGGGCCTTCGTTGTCAGCAGGAGTGATTCAGCTGGTTTAGGGGTTGTAGCAGGGCAGGAAGTAGTCGTTCCTCAGCACACGGTACAACCTCCCAGACCTCAGGCTGTACTCATGCATGTAGGGTCCACTRTAGAGGTACGCAAACCCTGCAGAACACACATGTTACACATGTTACATGTTAGTCGTACACAACAGCCTAGCTTATTTGTTCATATTAAGGTTTCCTACCTCTGAACTGCAGAGCTGCYGTCACTTGACTGCTCATTCCAGAGAAGGTCTCATCCACTCGTTTAGGGAATCCACGGTCCATAGTCTTTGTGGTCTCATCATAACTGAAAAAAGATCCAAATTAAACACATTTACAACTGTTGACAGCATTTAGATTGTGAGGTTCAAAAAGGAATCAAACATCCATTTCTTCAAACAATCTCCTACAATCAGTTAAAGGTTAAATTCTACTGGTTTAGATGAGGATCAGGTTCACAGCATGTGGACTTTGTTCTGGTTCCACACACAGTCTAAACATCTGCTTTCTGATCTGATCTCAGATCTTTTTGGAACACACCTGTAGTAKTTGCTSCCAACGAAGAAGAAGGTCTTGCCAGTTYCTGGGTTATGGAGGGCTGCATCTATTTTCTTCACAGTTCTAGGCAAACCAAAGCTGGAAATGGATTTGGGGTAGCCTTGGACCAGGTCATAGGCATTAAAAGACCACACTTTTTTACCTGGCATGAGGAAAAGAGAAGCAGACGTTATGGTAACGTGACAAAGAAAAGCCATGAAAACACTGCAACAAAACATGAAGAACAAATACCTTTAAAAAGAAGGACTTTGTCTGACTGTGAGCTCTCATAAGCAGCATCGATGTCCACAGGAGCATCAGGCCAGAAGTTCGTGATGAGAGACTGCTGAGGTGTGCTACTCTGAGGGTAGATGCGCCAGAAGAAGCTGCGAAACAAACACAATGAAACAGAAATTAAACCAGGAACCAGAACTTGTGCAAAAWTAGACATTGGCATTTGAACTTTTGAGCCTTAATTTCCTAAAATACCTGTCTTTGAAGAAGAGCATTTCTCCTCGCAGAGTGGCAACAGCATCCAGGACCATGGTGGAGTCACAAGCATCAGGAGTRGGAGGAGCAGTGGGTCCAGGTGCAATAGGATCCTTGTTTGCTCCTGACATTTAAATGGAACATTTCAGCTGAATCAGTACTCCAAAKARTCAACCATGGTTTGTTTAATAGACTCATGAGGAGCCAGKACTGAGTACTAACCATAGAGGGACTGGATGCCTTTGACATCATCCTGTGGCAGAACGAAGGTGTCGGGGTTTCTGTAGGTGTAGAAAGGGTACATGAGAGCACCGGGGTCATTCGAGTGGGACAGGCCCAGAGAGTGGCCAAACTCGTGGGCAGCAACCATAAAGAGCACGTAGCCTAAAACAGGAAGAGACAAAAGGATTGATGAGTCCCATCTCTTCGAGCTAAACCACATACTTATGTGAACACTGAGCATGAATAACTCACCTGAGTTTGAGCGGAACGTGAACGTTTCATCATCGTCAAAATGAGCATCTCCTCCGATGCCAGAGGACGGAGCAAAGGCATGGGCCAGTGTCCCATAAGGACCATCGAAGGGGTTAAAATCTCCATGTTCTGGTAGGAAAAAAGACTATTAGTTCAACTCCTAAAATCATGATTATTTCCCTGGTGGAGAAGTTTAACCTGTTAATCTGCAGGCCTAACCCAAATTATATGAAGTATTGCTCTTGACCATCTATCACCTTCARAAGTCATTGTTTGTGTAACTGCAACTAGTATTTATCTAGTTGAAAGTTAGAAGTTGAATTAGACTATAACCATCAATTTGTTCACATTTCTAAAGCCGCACGTTGATTGGCTACACAGCTGTGGTATCAGAATGAAGCTCACAGCTGATTGGCTGATTCTAGTCAATCAAGCCTGTGTAMTATGTACAGGTGGGCATGAGGGGCTTGTCACACATTTTGGGCTCTGGAGAGTCTATAGATAAACTCAGTTGGTCAAAAGAGGCGTCAATGGAAAGAAGACACCCAATTGAATCATTTGATTCAATCCCATTCAAGCCTATTACACACATTCAAAGTCCCTGTTACTGTGGGTCAGGCTATCAAAAGGCTTGTTTCAGTCTGTCTCAGTTTAGTGTTAAAAGTGTCTGGACTCAGCCTTGCAGAGGAG